ACGTGAGCACGTCCTCCCTCACCTCCTTTCTGAACACTCATGCTTTGGCCAGAAGTGAGGCTTCGTGAGGCCTAATCCAGAGTCTGGGTGAAGGAAGCGTGGACAGACCCAAGAGGGAAAGGAGGAAGGGTTTCAGGAGCAGACCACACGCTCTCTGCCAGGAGCTGCTAGTGCCCCAGCCAGACCCTGAGAGAAGGGGACACAAGCTCTGAATTGAGTTTGACAGAGAAGTTCAGATGTGGTACACACTGAGGCTAGAGTGAGACTTTCTGAGAACAGAAAGTGACGAAACTTTTTGGAATTTCGACAAGATGTCATTATGGTACCGAAGAACCAGTAAGAAAAGATGGGTTGACATCACACAACAGGGCAGTCTTGGAGACAGGAAAACTACTTTGTGTTTATGCCGCAGTGAATTATTATTCCTCACCAAAGCTTCAAAGCATAGAGCTGGAGTTTTGTTTACTTTCACAATCTGACAATTTGTCTTTCAACTGGAGAGCTTATTTTCTTTATATTTATAGTGAATATAGATATATTTGGATTTTTTCATATCATCTTATTTTGTGATCTTTATTTACCATAACTTTGCTTTGCTTTCCTCCTTTTCCTACCTTTTATTAGATTAATCAGGTTTTCTTTATTCACTTTCTCTCCCTCTGTTAGGAGCCATTCTACTTCTATTCCTTTTGTGGCTATGATGAACATTTTAAATATGTATGTTTGACTCATGAAATCTCAATGTAATTGATAGCTCTACCCTCTTCTTGAAATCACAAGGACCGTTGGATGACTTCATTGAAATCAGGCTCCAAACTTCCTACATGTTTTTGTTGTCTAGTATTTTAGTCCCATGCTTTTCCCAAGCTGCTGCTGCTGCTTTCTGCCCTCTGTTTTATACCTTATAAAACTATTCACATTATGTTCTATTTTGGCTGCTCTTTACATGAATTCAAGTTCTTGGATTTTTTGATCCTGCTGTTTGTTGTGTTCTCACGAACGGTGTTCTGTTTCCTTGTGGGTTTTGCAATTTGTGATTGTGAGCTTATATCGAGCAGGCTTGCGGGCTGGATTGTGGGATGGTTCCTCTTGTTTTTGTTTCCTTCAGGCAGAAACCTCAAGTGCTCTCATTGGCCTAGGGCCAATTTTTATTTCAATTTATCAGCCCTGTGGATGATGTAAATTTGAATCTCAACCTCCACAATGTACTAGCTCTAGCTTGGGATTCTCAAGGAAGATACTGCCCGATCCACTACCATCACTCAGAGCCCAGCCTGAGACAGATAAACTTTTTGTCGTCTGTGGAAGCCATGGAGTCACGCTGCTCGGATCTCCATTCAAGAACTTACCATTCAGCTAAAAGGAGTGCAGTCAACTGACAGCTCCAGTTATTAACCCCTTCAGGAAATGCCTTTGCTTTCAAGCTAAGGTCATGCTTTTCCTGGGCAGCCCCAGCCAAGGAGGGAGCAGGTGTGATCCTAGGGCCTGGATGTTTCTGCCCAATACAGGACTCAACAGACGATCTTTGCTCCAGAGTCCCTTGCCGAAACTTTGTCCGAGCTGCGTCATGTTCTATTCCTGCTGCCCAACCTGCCTCCTCTCCTCTTTCCTTTCACGGATGTTGGATCCGAGTTCTGGTCTGAGACCCTGCCTGCAAAATCCTGCTTCCTCCTCCTTTTGCCTTTCATAGGCATCACTCCCCAGGGAACCACTTGCACTTCAAACTGTGTCTCAGCATCTGCTTCCCAGAGGACCCAAATCACACATCATCTTTTGGTGCTAGGATGCATTTTTCTGGAACCATGTATTTCCTGAAGATGAGGCCTTCAAGGGGCTTTATCTGGAGGCATCGGTTCCAACTTCTTACCTTCATGGGCCCGAGCCCCATACACCCTCTCCTCACCCCACTCCAAGTAGGTCCAGCAGCTACTCACATGCTTCCAACGTGGGTGTGCAGTTTTATCTTCATTTCTGGCACATTAGGATTTTTCCTTATTCCTTTCTATCTTAGCTCTATATTTAAAATTATCTTTATTGTATCCCATCTGGAATTTCCAGATGTTTATATCAGGAGTGTCTTCAGGTTATACAATCTACAATATCTGCACTTGTTGACCCCAAATTTTTTAAAACAGAAATTATTTAAATGTATATATTTAATGTCTAAATCGTGCTTTTAATGTTTTTAAATAATCATGTATAAACTGGACAACACTCAGAGTTAAAAGAAACATGACAATTATGCGAACTCAGGAACTTGGTTTCCCAGCTGTCAGGCAAGAGACACTTCCTTAGGATTTGTCAGTCTATTGCCTCACATTTATACATACACTTTTATACACATTTCAAGGAACACATTATTTACAAAGTAAGAGAGAGTCTAATGAGATAGACAGATTCCGAGTGAGGGTTCATGGAGAAAGAGGGGAGGCATCAGCTCCACCTGCAGAGATCAAGGAAGACTGGGTGACATTGAGCCAAGACCTGTGGGGTAAGAAGGCGTGGACCAGGTGGAGCAGGGGCAAAGGGAGGGAGGACACTGTACGCAGCAGGAACAGCATGTGCAGAGACATGGAACAGCATGGTGCTCAGGGAAGGACAGGTGGTTCACTCCATCTAGAGAGTGAGATGCAAGAGGAGTTGCAGGAGATGAGGACAAGGAAGAAGCCACCTCACGAGGGATCAGACATGCCATGCTAAAGTCTGGACTTAGCAGGTGATTGAGAGTCATTGGAGGACTTTAAACCAAGGAGCGAGTGATTGGATTTCTGTTAGAAAGGTCACTTGGGGTCAGTGTGAAGGATGGGGCGGGGCTTGGTGGGGTGCGAGTTAGACTTGTGGCCCAGAAGGACTTCTGGCAAGCTTTCAATGATGTGGAAGAATGACTGATAAGTGACAGAAAAAAGGAGAGGTAGAAGTTGACAGGAGCCTCAGAGGAGGAGGGGTGCCTTCCCAAGGATGGAGATGTGAAAGGGTAATAGTCACAAGCAGCCAACGCCATCTTCGAAGATCTTGATGCTGTTGAAATGGATACGGCACAGTCGGCCCATCTTGTCTTCAATGTGCCTGTGAACATGCCAGTGACGTAGCACTGCTACTTAACAATGGGAAGAGTCAGAAGGGATGGGGGCCATCTTTGGAAACATCAGGAATAAGAGAGCAGAGTCATAAAAAGACAAAGGTAAAGAAAGACGTCAAGAGGAGGCAGGCAGCAGGTGGGGGTACCTTTTGATAAGCAACAGAGGGTGGCCGAGATGAAGGAATGGCTGAGAACGGTGAACCTCAAATGTTCTCATTTTGGCACAAGTTATTTTGGTTCCAGAACATACATGAGTGTCCCAGGAGGATTTGGCCTGGCTTCAGAGAGGTGACGAGAGCTACCCTGAGATGTGGGAAGTGTGCTAATTTGAATCACAGCCCCTCGAAGATGTCCACATCCGAACTCCCAGAACCTGGGAATATGTTACCTTACGTGGCAAAAAGGACTTGACGGATGTGGCTAAATTAGGATCTTCAAAGGGAGAGATTATTCTGGATTATTTGGGTGGTCCCAATGTAACTGCAAGTGTCTTTAAGAGAGGTAGGCAAGAGGGTCAAAGTCAAAAAAGAGCTGTGATGATAGACGCAGGGGCTGGAGTGACTCCTTTTGAAGATGAAGGGGCCGTGGGCCGAGGCACACAGGCGGTGGAAAAAGCGAGGAAATGGGCTCTCCTCTGGAGTCTCTGGAAGGAGCACAGGCCTGCTGACACCTTGACCTTTGCTCCATAAGACTCAGTTTGGACTTCTGACCTCTAGAACTGGAAGATTAATGTGTGTGGGTTTAAGCTGTAAAGCTTGTGGCAATTTGTCACGGCAGCAACAGGAAACTAATACGAGGGACGGTTGCGCTGTGGTCTGAGCAGGAGGCTTCAGAGCATGGTGGAGCACAGCTTCCCAGGACGTTTGGGAACAGCGGTAGGGGCCCCCATTCCACGGCGCTTCTCTGGTCTCCCTAACCAGATTGGCACCCCCTTCTGGCTGTCTGAAACTGAACTCACCCCCGGCCCCCCCGCACCCCAAAACTCTCCTCCCCATGTTCTCTGTCTTGGAGAGTGTCCCTGAGCCAGAACCTTGGGGCTCATCCACTTAGTGGGCTGGGGTTGGGAGCTCTGGCCTGATAGATGAGACTCCTGCACGCAGAGCGTGTGGGCCAGAGGGAGCATGGGGACGCCCCAGAGGACTGGGAAGGGTGCGGTGGTGGTGGAGCTGGGCAGACACTTGGAGCGCCCCTGCCCAGCAGGGGAGGTGGACAAGAAGCACAGGGAGAGGCCGGGGCTGCCAGTAAGGAATGAGACCTCATGGCCACAAGGGCCTGCACGAGGTCTACTCCTGTTCCTTCTCCGTGTCCCACTCCCACGCCCTTGCAGCAAATTAAAGCAGATTTTACTTTACATTTCTGTTTTTTTAAAAAGACAATGATTGAAATGAAAAAGGCTGAAAACATGAGATAAAATGTTCACAACTGTTAACTGTGGTTGGTAGGAATATGGGCGTCAGCCTGGCTCACTGGCCATGGCATGGACTTCACTCCAAGACCAGGATTACAATGAGGGGCACCACCAATGCTTTCTTGGCTTCTGCCCAGCCAGGAAAAGATGCAAAGAGAAGACATCCAGCATCCGTTTTCCTTTGATATTCTGCAATTTTTCTCCCAGACCTCCCTATCTTTATGTATATCATATAAAATTATATAAAACTAAAATTACAGAAACCATGATTATATTTTAAAGCAAAGTGATTGGATGTGTTTTCATCTTCCCTCCAAATGTCAGTTTCTCCCTAGAGTCAAACTTCTCTGGATTCTTCCATTCCTGCTCTCAGGGACAGTGGCCTCCAGGGTCCAAGGTGACCAAGGGCAGGAGGCGAGGCTGAGGAAGGTGACCACACAGCTCCCCTGGGGGCCGTGTTTAGAGGAGTCAGCACCAAAGACACAGGTCTGAGAATGGAACCCACCAAACGGCCGCGGTGCTGGTTAGGTTTTATTTTAACAGGATGTTTCCTCTTCATTTGTTTTCAAAATATCAGTTATATCAATATTAGAACTGTAAACAGGTACAAAATATACAGTACATAGAAACAATTTTCTTAACTAGTCTATTGCCTAACAAAGGTACGCATGAGGGAGCGGGACCAACAGAAGCCACGGTCTCTCCCTCTGCAGGGAGACAAGCTACCCATTCTGGACAAGAAACCAGTGGCTGCTTCAGCGAAACAGGAACGGATACTTGTGTGGCAGGGGCAGCACTGCAGTGGAATCCAGAAACCCGGGTCCGTTTCCAATTCCACCTTAAGGTGTCCACTGGGGACCCTGACCAGCCTCTCAGACCTCGCCAAGTGCCCTCCCGGGGGAGTGAGCACACACCGGGGAGCCGGTGCTCACTAAACCTCGCAGCCTGACGATTTTCTCATGCAGACGTGGAACAAATCTTTTAAGAGGGCAAAAAGGAAAAGCTTTCCTCCCTCAACCTGAGGCTTTTCCCAACTCTCGGCACTCACCGTGAGCCGCAGGTGTGAGGCCGCGGTGTGTCCTCTTTGAGTAATTCATTTCCTCATCTCTAACAAGAATACTTGTCTTGTGTGCTTCACAAGGTCACGGTAGTGATCAAATGAGATGTGCTGTGAAAGCATTTGACAATGAAAAACACACTACACACGGAGAAAAGGAAGTAGAAGCATGTCGCTGGCTGGAAAGCCGGCCCACATCGGGGCGGGCAGGCCAGGCTTGGGCCCTGGCTCTGGCCCTAACCAGTGTCACAGGTTTCCACTGCCCACGCCTCAGCCTCGTCACCTCTGCAGCCCTGACACTGTGTTTTCGGACAACTCTCCCTTGTGAAGCCCAGGAGTCCCGTAAAAGGGCGACAGGGCCAGGCCCCCTTCCCACAGGGGCAGCAGATGGCTGCTAACGGGAAACACAAGGAGGGCCAGCGCTTTTGGAGGCCTACGACGGAAAAGCAAGCTGGGAATGGAACAGGCTGCTCCTGGACAAGTCTCCCCGCTGAGCGGAGGCTGGGGCTCCACAGCACACAGCTGGCCTCGCTCCCCAGGGGGCTGGGAGCCCCAGGCCCAGGCTGGCCCGGCCCTGGGCAGAGCATGGTCTCAACGCCCCTGCGACTGTGTGCTAAGACCGGACAGTCCCCAGGAGTCAGTGGGGTGGGGGAGGTCCAGGGCCCTCCTCACCTGCGTCCCCAGCCCGCCAACCTTCCAGCACACTCTCTGTCACGTCAGGCTCGGTAAGGACACAGCCCACAGCCCACACAAACGCACGCTCAGAAACCAAAAGTACACTATAAAGTTTAAACTGGTGCTACTACTATTTTCCAGCTTTTTCTTCAAGAATTAAAAAAAAAGGTTTTGTAATTAAATTACTTAAAATTCTATGGTGCTCAGTTTCACAATCAGAACTCTACTTCGTCGGGAGGCGGAGGCGGAGGCCGGGCCGTGCGATGTCTCTGTCGCCGGTGGTCCGGCCAGCAGCCCGCGCGCCCGCTCCCCCGCCGCACTCCCGCCCCGACGCTGCACGGGCGGCTCCACCCTCGCGGCCGCGCGGCCGGGGCGCCTCACAGGTCCCCGCCGTCCGAGGGTCCCAGGACGCTGAGGCCACACGTCCAGTCGGTCACCAGGTCCGTGGGGGCCAGCGGGCCTTTGGGGGCGGGGCTCTTGAAGGGCTCGGCGGCGCCGGGCGGCAGCGGCTGCAGCTGGGGGCCGCGCGCGGGGCCCTTGGCGCCGGCCGCGTGGTTGCGCTGGTGCTTGCGCAGGTGGTCCTTGCGGATGAAGCTCTTGCCGCAGACGGTGCAGGCGAAGGGCCGCACGCCCGTGTGCGTGCGGTAGTGGTCGATGAGCTTGGAGCGCTCGGTGAAGCGCTTCTCGCACTCGGTGCAGGGGAAGGGCCGCTCGCCCGTGTGCAGCATGCGGTGGCGGATGAGGTGCGCCGGCCGCGTGAAGCAGCGCCCGCACTCGCCGCAGCGCAGCCCGCTGCCGTCCCGCGCGCCGCCCCCCGCCGGCCCCGGCGCGCCGTCGGGCGGCCCGCAGCCGCGCTGGTGCGCGCTCAGGCTCACCTGCAGCTGGAAGCTCTTGCCGCACGTGGCGCAGGTGAACGGCCGGGCCCCCGGCGGCGCGGCCGGGTGCTTCTTCAGGCCTGGCTTGTGGCCGAAGCCTTTTGTCCGGCCCGGGTATTTACAGGGGTCGCTGAAGGGTCTCGGGGCCTGGCTGGGGTCCAGCACAGCCTCTGCGTTGTCGGGCGAGGAGTAGGGCAGCCCCTCAGGCCCAGTCCTCGGGTTCAGGCCCACAGGAGGTTTACACCTGAAATTCCAGCCCCACCGTACCCCCCCAAACAGCCAGTCCCCCTGAGGGGTCTCGTCCTGGGCCACGGCAGGGCTGAGCTCTCCCATGTCCCGCTCAGGCCGGGCGGGCTCTCTCAGCCCCAGCACAGGGTCCTGGCTGGGGAAGGAGCTGCCCTGGCTCTCCCAGGCTCCTTCCTGGGCCGGACTAGGGAAAAACCTCGTGGCTTGGCCTGGTCCAAATAGGGTCCCGTGGGCCTCTAGGTCAGTAGGATGCACTGGTGTGGCCACCACCTCCTCTTCCTGGACTTCTGTTTTTATCACGATTTTTACATCTGCTGAGAAAGACAGAAAGACCAGGTATCATTCTGTCCGCTTACCCGCTGAGAGCGAAGATCTGATACCTTCCTGTGCATATGCAGCAGCTGCTTGGCCCCATCACCACCTCTGCGCCCTGGTCTCCAAGCCTCAGGACCCAGCTCAGCAGAGCAATCCCCCAGGTGGTCATGTGGCTGCCTCAAACCCTGGGTGAAGACACCTGTGTGTTCTAGAACCTTCACCACAGGTAAAGCACCTTTGCAAATGCTCACCCGGTTCTGTTTTCACTTTGGCTAGTAAGGCTAATCATGAATGCATCCTAAGGAAGGAACTCTGACATCAGCAGCACTGTCCCCATGGGGCAAAAGCACAGGGCTGGGGTTCAGGTGTGTCTGAGATTGCACCTGGCTCCCCCACAGACCAGCTGTAGACTCAGGCAAATTTCCTAACCTATTTCATAGGGTGGTATGAGGATTACGCTGGATAACACATCTAAAAGCACTAAGCATGCTATTTGGCATGCCACATGCCTTCAATAAACGTAGCCAGCTAGCTAATGATTAAATATTTGTGAAATAGTAAAACTGTGTTTGATTTTATGTAAATATACTTGAATTTCAGGTCCTGAAGTGTTATGTCAGGGATCTAGGCTTTTAGCACGTTTTTGGGTGCTAAAATATGACAGAAATTATTCCTTAAAGTAACAGTTCACTGGCCTTCAGAACAAAAGTCAATAGAAAACGAATACATAAATTTGGTTGTTCTCCCCGATCCTGGCCCTCGGACACCGTCTTTGGCAGAGCCAATACCTAAGATGTGGTTTTGTTTTGGTTTGGTTTTTTTCCATGCCAGAGAGGGGCCAGGGTTGCTGAGTCTGAGCAGAGGGGCATCCTCTCAAGGGATCAGCTTCTCAGGACACACTGGTTCCCAACACTCGAGAAAGGAGCTGTGGGAAGCAGGGGCATTCTCAAGGCTGTTCGAGCACGCGAATTTGGAGGGAGATGAAGGTCAGGCTGTACAGCGTCCTGAATCACAGACTCCTAAAGGCCCGCTGGCTGGAGGGTCAGGGCAGTTCACCAGTGACAACGAGGGGCCCGCGCTGAGGCAGCCTCAGGCAGACTGAGCCTTTCCTGTCCTCTCTCCGCCACCCTGTACCTTCCGTGGAGGCCGCCGTGTTGAGCTTCAGTGTCCCATCTGAGCATGCGGAAGAGGGGTGGTGGGGAGGGAGATCCGCCTGCCAGGAAGTGGGTGGGATAGTGGTTGAGAAGTTGGAGTGGATGCCTGCAATGAAGAGAGAGCAGAGCCTGTGCGTTGGGGGGAGAGGAAGAGCAGGCAAACCCCAAGACCCCACCTGGGACTTTCTGCACGAACATAATGACCCCACCTCTTGGGAACCCAATTTTCTTCTGTCCCCCTCTCTGAGGCACTAGGAAGCACAGAGGTCCGTGGCTTATTTCACACGGCCCATCGTTAAGAGAAGGCAACTGGTGATTTTTTTTTTTTAGGAAGATTAGCCCTGAGCTAACTACTGCTAATCCTCCTCTTTTTCCTGAGGAAGATTGGCCCTGGGCTAACATCCGTGCCCATCTTCCTCTACTTTATATGTGGGACGCCTACCACAGAATGGCTTTTGCCAAGCAGTGCCATGTCCCCTGGGATCCGAACCAGCGAACCCCGGGCCCCCGCTGAGAAGCAGAAGGTGCATACTTAACCGCTGCACCACCGGGTCCGGCCCCGCAACTGGTGATTTAAATGCCCAATGCTGGGGCAAGAAGAACAGGAGTGCAGCTGATGAAGGTGAGGGAGAGAAATACCTGGACAAGAGCGTCACTGAACCCAGAGGGGCTGCAAGATGTCATGTGGTGCAGCCCCTGTCTGAAGGTGGGAAGACTTCTAAACGAGTCAGGCCAGATGTTTGAGAGCCCACAGCTCCCCACAATGCTTCCAGGAACTCTTTTCCCCATGCCCTGTCCTGAGTCCCCACACTTTGTTCCCAGTCTCTGCTCCCATCTCAGCCACTCACCAGAGGCAGCATCTGTAGAGATGTCTCCTGCTCCAGAGTCCAGCTGGCTGAGGCCCCACGGCTCCTCCCCGATATCCGGCTGCCCAGCTGCCCATGCCTCTACCCCCAGAGCCTGCTGCTCCTGGAGCTGGAGTTCGCCCTCCTGCTTGATCTGCATTAAGAGGTCAGGGGCAGGAACCGGGGGTCCTGAGCCTAAGAAAGGGAGAGTGCGTGAGCATACAGCATCAGGGCCCCTCAGCCCTGGGTGGACACATATCCAGTCAAAGAAAAGGACGTGGGGGCCTCGCAAGGGTCAAACAGCAAAAGAGCCTTGTGGGAAGGGAGGGCAAGAGCACAGAGGGACTGCAGGGCCTTCTGGGCAAAGCAGGAGGTACGTGGTGGGTGGGAAAGAGTGAGGAGCACACCAACGCGTTCTCTGGGCCAAGCCTCTGGTCCATGGACAGGATGGAGCTGCCCATGGAGGCCCTGCTTTCACTTTAAACACAGAAATGCTATATAAAATCTAACCACAAACCTCCCCAAAAACCTTATCCCCAAACATGTATTTAAGTGAGTGCAAAAAAAAAGAAGATTCCAGATGTAAGAATCAAAGAGAAAATGCAAAGTCAAATCAAGAGTTAGAGCAGGAGCCTAGTGACCTGGGGAGTTGCTGGAACAGGATGTGGGCCTGCTGGGCCGGGCCTGGATGTCCAAGTGGGGCCGGAGGGCAGCTGAGCGGCCTGCGTGAGCCAGGAACCATGAGGCTCTCTCCCATCTGTGAGATGAGGACTAGGAAAATGCCATCTATCTGAGGGAGCTAGAAGGAAGCTGCCCACTTGTCCAGGGCCATGGGTGGGAAAGGCACCCATAAGAAACTGGAATCCCATGTCCCCACTGAATGCATACTACCCACACGGTGCAGAGACCCTAAGCTGAGATATTCATAGAAAAAGAGAGGACTGTGGCAACCCAGGAGGCCCCCCAGCACAGGTGAATGCAAACCTGCCCCGCAGGGGCACCCCCACAATGCAGGCCATGGGGGGCCCCTCTAAAAAACTACACTTACAAAGCAGAAGAGGAGCCAAACAGCATGAGAGTCACAGCAGAACTCACTCCCGGGAACAAGAGAAAAAAGAAGAAGCTGAAGCAGACGGTAACATAAGTATGTCTAAAATATTCAAAGGAATAAAGGAAGGAACAGAAGCTCTAAGGCAAGACCAGGAAATTATTTTTAAAAAAGTAGATTTGAAAAAGAACTAAATAGACATTCTAGAAATGGCAAAAGCAGTCACAGAAATGAAAAAATCAATGGATGGCTTAACAACAGACTGAACACAGTTGCAGAGAAAATTAGTAACTTAGAAGATGGGTCTGGGGAAATAACCCAGAGTATAGCACTGAGAGAGAAAGGAATGAAAAATGAAAGAGAAGCTGAGACACGGACGACAGAACGAGAAGTTCCAACATATGCTGGTAAAAATCCCAGAAGGAGAGAGTCAAGAAATGGGTAAATAGGAACATGTACAGAAATAATGGCTGAGAATTTTCCAAAATTTAAGGCATTATGAGCCCGTAGTTTGAAGGAACACACCAATTCCTGAGTAGGAAATTTAAAAAAGAATATAAACCTAGACAACATTCATGTGAAATGGAATATCACATGAATGTAAATTGTATCATTTAGATTGTACAAACTAGAGGTCAGTGTATCAAAAAATTTATAAAATAATCTCATTTATGAACAGATATGCAAAGATTCTAAGTGAAAGAATTACAAATCAAAGCCAGTAATATTTTCAAAAAAGACAAAGTGACAATACATTATGAACAAATTGGGTTTACCCTGAGAACTCAAGGATCTCTAGAAAATGTAGTGACATAACTCACAAGGTTAACAGACTAATGGAGAAAACAATATAATCATCTCAGCAGATGCAGAAGCAGCATTCGACTCTTCTATTTCTGGCATATGGCTAGTTAGATGTGCAGAGAAACTCCTCCCAGTATGGAATATCTAAAAATGCTGGGTAAAGTGTGAAAATAAAAACAAACTTGTGTAGCATGGACGATGCGGAAATAGAGTAAGGAAGACAGACAGAGGCCAGAACCTCTAGACAGCCTGAATCAACCACGTAAATCGCAGGGCCCCTCCCGCAATTGCAGGGCCTGGCTGTAATGGACCGTGCACATCTGGGAGGGAGGAGTGCGACAAGCCTGGGGTTCAAGCAGGTGGGAGGTTGGGTTGGAGACCCCCTGCCCCCACCCCCACATAAACCTGGAACCCCAAAGAGCAACATTCCAGAGGACTAAACTCAGAGTGAACACCCACCCTGCAGAGGGGGCCCGCCTCTTCCGTGGGACTACAATCTTGCCTGGGGGCTGACACACGGCAAGCCAGAGCCCGAGGGTGTCTGTGCTGGTCTCGCCCCCCAGCATGGCTGAAACCCTCCAGGACACGACTGTTGGCCCCGAGTCTGCACTGGCACCGATGACCAGCAGAGGCAGACACACAGATTCTCAGGAGGACAGCATTTTAAACACAGCTGTCAAGCATGGGTGAGCTCACAATTACAGATCACCACGTTAACATGAAAACCAGCCACCTCACATAGAGTCAGGAGATGTCGTATCTGCAGGATTTGACCCACAAAGACACCAGATATTGGAATTACCATATACAAACCATAAAGTTTAATATATTTAGAGAAATAAAAACGGGGAGCGAAGATATGGTAAATAAGAGACTATCAAACCTGACCAATCAGATTTTGAAAAAGAATAAAATATAACTTTAGAATTGTAAAATAAAATAATTAAAATTTAAAAATCCAACCTATAGGTTAAACAACAGGATGGAAACAACTGAATAGGACTGAATAGAACTAGTTAGTGAACTAACTGGAAGATAGATTAGAAGAAATTATTCATAACTCAGCACAGAGAAAGAGCTGAAAACATGAAGAGATGTTCAAAGTAACGGAGGATAATACGAAAAACTTCCAGAATAAAAGAGAAGAGAGATTGGGGGCAAGGCAACATTTAAAGTGATGACACTGCAAAATTTCCCAAATTGTTGAAAAATATCAATGACGAAAGCAAGATAAGAAAAAGAAATCCAAAACAAGAACAGACTCAGAGATACAGAGAACAAACCAATGGTTACCAGTGGGGTGGGAGGGAGAGGGTGAAGGGATTAAGAAGTACAAACTTCCAGATATAAAATAAATAAGCCCCAGGGATGTAATGTACAGCATAGAGAATATAGTCCATAATATTGTAATAACTTACTGGAGGGTTACTGGATCGTGGCGATCATTTCATAATGTATATAAATATCAAATCACTATGATGTACACCTGAAACTAATATAATGCCATTTGTCAATTATTTTCAATTAAAAAAAAAAGAAAAAGAAATCCACACCTAGACATATTGTAGTAAAATTGCAGATTGCCAAAGTTAGAGAACTAAAAGGCAGGTTACCCACAAAGGGGTAACAGTTAGACTGACGACCGACTCTCAAGAGCAGCAGATTACCTTCCAAGGGCTAAGAGAAAACGACAATCCGACTGGAACGATATCCTTCAAATACAGCAGATACTGTCAGACACGGATAAAGGCATACACAAATACACACAGAGTTCATTACCAACAGAGCCACAAAACACAACTTCTAAAGGACATATTTTAGAAGAAAAAAATGTCTAAGGTCAACTCTAAAGGAACAGAAATAGAATGTATAACTTCCAAATGAATTAAAAATAACAATAGTTTGAGGAGGAAAAAAAATCTAAATGAGTAATTTCCACAACAAGGGCAGGGAAAAAAGAAATACAGAAAAGGTACACTAAGGATGCACGGCACAATTTAAGGTGGGGGATAGGAACCCAAATACACTAGTGACCACAATCAATGTAAGGGGCCTGGAGCCCTGACAGAAGTCAGTGTGAGCCACGCAGCTGACCGCAGGTTTTCTAGTGGCTACATAGAAAATGAAAAAGAAACAGGTGAAATTAATTTTAACAATATATTTTATTTAACCCAAAATGTTCATTTCAACATATAATCTATATAGAGATTAATAAAATAGTTTATATTATTTTTTATACATGCATCTTTCATATGCATATCTCTTTTTTTGCACACAGTTTTTGAAATCCAGGATGTATTTTATCCTTAGGGCACTTTTCAAGCGCTCAGTCGCTACATGTGGCCAGTGGTTACTGTTCTGGACATTTAAAAGGTAAAGATAATCAGACTAGAAACAAACAAGAAACTTCACTATATGCTGTTTTCAAGAGACACAACGAAAACAGGATGCAAAAGCAGTGTAAAAGAATAAAAGATGTACTAAGCCAGAATTAACAATTTTTTTAAAAAAGTTGTCATTATACCATATCAGATGAAATCAACTTTAAAAAGAAAAATATTCATAGAAATAAAAAAGGATCACTGTGCAATGGTAAATTGATCAAGAAGATAAAACAATTCTAAATTTTTTAATCTAATAACACAGCTTCAAAATAATAAAGTAAAATTGACAGAACTCCAACAGAAATGAGAAAATCCACCGTCTCAGTGGGAGATTTCGACAGACCTCTTCCTGTAATCAATAAATCTAGCCGACTAAAGGTTACAGGGAATTTGAACAACATAATTAACAACCCTGACATAATACAAAACAACACAACATAGCAACCCTCAAATGGACATAAGTAGAATCTAAAGACAAGGAAAACACAGGCTTTCCAAGCTGCCCAGAATGTTAGGGAAAACGAACATTTTCTAAGCCATAAAACAAACCAGTAAATTTTAAAAGATTAGTATTTTACACACATTTTCTAACTATAACACTATTAAGTTGGAAATCAATAACAGATATCCCCAAACTCCCCATAAATGCTAAAATTAAAAATATATATATTTGCTTTATAAATAATCCACGGCTGTAAGGACAAATCACAATGAAAATGAGAAGATATCTCAAACTCAATGCTCATGAAAATATTATTTATCAAAATGTGTGGGCTGCATCCACAATGGTACTTAGAGGAAATTTTATAGCCTCATATGTTTATATTAAAAAAGAGGAGATGGGTTGAAAATTAATGGGTCAGGCAGTCATTGTAAGATGTTAGAAAAGAAAAAACATCAACAACAAAACCCTTTAAAAAGTGAAGAAAGGAAATAATAGAGTGTAAGTTAATAAAATA